CTTCGCCGAGAACGTCCCCAAAAGCGAGTGACAAACCATTTCCGAAGATGTTTGAACATCCTTTCTGTTAACACCCTGATCTGAAAACACATTGAAGGAAAACAAACAAAAAAAAGGATTATGTTTATAGAAATGGTGAACTAGTGACTCACGTAAAGATCTAACTACATATGAAAAGATTATTCAAAACTACTGGTCATTTGGGCAGGCTGACAAGTTTATTCTGGATACCACAATGCTATTTCCAATAGAAACTTTCCACTGGAAGACCATATTATTTAAATATAAAGAGGTGAAATAACTACAGAGAGATAGAAATGGAAGGAAAATAAGAGATCATATACTCAAATGTTTTCTGACCTCTGTCAGTAACACACACACCTTAAAAATGTTTGTGATAACCAATCACAACCTTTACTTTTATTAATTTGATATTATTCTTCAAATCAACTCCATTTTTTCTATAATAAATTTAGCCTTATGCTAAGCAATAATTTCTGTGAAACCATAAGCTTGAAGCACTATTTATGTGTTTTGTAATATTTACATTTTATTATATAAAAATAAGTAACTGAAAAGAAAAACATCAATATACAACCGAAATCATCTGTGTACTGCTATTGGGACTCATATCGAGAGAAATCCTTACTAAATTCACTTCTCTTGTTTATCAAATGAGAGAACTGAGACTCAGAAAGTTTGAATGACTTATCCAAAGTGATGTACAGTGGCAGGATGACCACCACAGCACAAGGCTCCCTGCCTGCAGCCTGGGCAACTTCCACCACACTGTGCCTCAGTCATTAAATTTCATAATCTAAAGTTACATTTTCCTAAAACATTTAAGATGAGTTTTGGTCAAATTCCCTTTTCATTATTTTAATACCTAACACTATTTAGAGCAGAGCTCAGATCCTACCAGATGATCTCAGAGGCTTTCTCAGTGGATGTGGCAAGCCAGCCCCTACTCTCTCTCCAGGGTTGACCAAGATTCCTAAAAGGAATAATTTAAGGATCACCACCAGTATCTCACACTTCCTTCCCCGCCACGGAGCTGCAGAACAGGGGAGCACTAGTTTAAATAGTATTCCATAAAGGTAGAACCATGTTTTATTCATTCCTGTATCCTAGCTGCTAGCACTGTCTACGAATACTTACATTTATTCAATCAACATAAATGGAATGATTCAGTGAATGAATTAAGCTCTT